TAATAATTGAATTTTTTATAAAGTACTGATTTTATTTTTTTAAAAGTACGTAGATTCTAAAGAATTAATTTTTAAGAAATACTGATCTATGTTAATTCTGAAGTACTAAATTTTAAAATAATAATAATTCTTTAAAAAATACTGATTTTAAAGTACTTTAATAAATTGTGTAAAAAGATGCTGATTCTGAAATACTTTAGTAAGCAATATGACAAGATGTTAATGTTGAAGTGTTTTAGTAAGTAGTGTAAGAACAAAAAACTAGTATAGAAAATTTTGACATAATATATTTTTAGTATATAAATTAATTGATCTCATTAGAAGACTTAACTGATTTTCTTACATGATTTTATATTAAAATAAGAATTATATATATATAAATATATATCAGATAATTAAAATATTATTATAATAATTTCTCTTCATAATTGTAATAATACTAATTAATATATTATAATAATATATGACTATTAAACTTGCAGAAACTGATAATGATAAAATCAATATGACTTCAAAAGTTGTAAATATTATAAATACTTTATAAATACTTGACAATTAATATTTAATTATTTTTTAAAATAGTTAATAAATAATTAATAATTAGTCAATATTATTTTTTTTTAGTATTTAAACTTAAATTAATTTTACTTTTATTATATTTTAAATATTTAAATATTTAAAATTATTTATAGAATATTTATACTAGTTATTTATTAATTATTTAATAATTATTTATTAATTATTTATTAATATTAATTTATAAATTAATATATAAATTTTATAATTATAAATAAATAGGTTTTTTATAATATAAAAAACTATAAAAAATATTAAATTTTTTATATATATCTAAGATTATTTATTTTATAATATTTATATTAATTATTTATTAATTATTTTTTAATTATTTATCAAATTTTTTAATTAATTATATAATTTTAAAAATAAAATTTTAATCTAATAATTAATATAATTTATAAAAATATATAATAAGAGTATTATTGAGTTATTTAAAATATTGATAAATAATTTATAATATATTATAATAAATTTAATTTAATTAGAAAAAGATCAAATTATATGTAGAATTAAGTCAAGTCTTTTAGTAAAATCTACTTATCTACATTTTGATACATTCTATATATTATTGATCAGAATAAAGAAGAGATAACTTCAATAAAAAAGATTTAATTTATCTCATCATATGATATGATCTTATTCTAGCTAAATTAAACCTTCAATAATATAATATAAATTGTTGAAAAATACTCTAATTATTTGAAATTATACATATCTATATATTTAGTAGTTATAGCTAGCTCATTTATAGTCTTACAATGTAATAAAATTGATATTTAGTTTTCTTAAAGATTATAAGAGTTTTGTATTAAAGATCTTTTAATACAATAAACATGTATTATGACTCAATTAAAATCAGGATGATAATAAGGTAACAGCTTCAATTCATCTATCTAACTAGGCAGCTGTGATGAGAATACTAAACTGGGGATTAAAATGAAGAATGAATGAGCAGCTGAATATAAAGAAGTGGTTGGGAATTGAATTAGATCAACCTTTGAAGCAAAGTGGTTGGGGATCGGATCAGATCAACATGAGCAACTGAATATGGTTGAGGTCGGAACGGATCAACCTATAGAGTGTAGCCAGGTGGATCAACCTTAATCCATATACAAGCAGCTGCGCCGTAACATTACCCCCCCGGTTTAAAAGAGTGCTTGCCCTCAAGCAGCTACGTTAGAAGCAAGAAAAGAGCAAAATGAAAATCCACCAAGCTTATCAGTAGGCTAACCGCCTTGACCATCATTCACCAGATCCTTATAGGTTTCCTTCCATATCTCACTAACATCAGATTCGTCTGGCAGTTTGACAGTGATAGGGCTTAGGAGAATGTGGACGGAATAGACGGTTTTCAGCTCAATGACCATGAGATCCACAACGTACACAACAGCCTTCTTGACGGAATCTGTCCCGTTGAGAATCATTTGGAAAATCAAAGGCATTAAGTTGAATCTGATAGGATCATGGTGAGCAGGGTGATCAGAGCGAGCTGGGATATCAAAGCAAGCCAGGCCATTGAAGCGATTAGAGTGAGCCGGGCCATCAAACAAGCTGAGCTGTCGTCAAAGCAATAAGAGCGAGCCGGGCTATCGAACGAGCTGAGCTGTCGAAGTGATTAGAGCGAGCCAGCTGAGAAGCATGTGGCAAGGATGAAGAGAAGGAACTAGGAGCTAATTTGCTGGACAATGCGCAGGAATTTCTTTTCAGTCTGAAGGAGGTTTAATTGCTGAGCTAGACAGTTGAGAATTGACACAGACATGGACATGGACATAGACATAGACATGGACATAGACATAGACATAGACATAGACATAGATTTGAGCATTCAGCACGGTCGCAACCACTGAGGAGCTCACACAGACATGGACATATAGATATAGGCCTGCTACTCAATCTCCAGGGCTTTTTGAGAAAGAGGAGTTTAGTATTATGTCATGGCTCAACTAGAGTCAGGATGATAACAAGACAGCAGCTTCAATTCATCTATCTAACTAGGCAGCTGCGATGAGAATACTAAACTGAGGATTAGAATGAAGAATGAACGAGCAGCCGAATATATAGGAGTGGTTGGGGATCAATTACCCTGCATACAAATAACACATAAATGCGAAAAACAGTGCTAAGGAAAAAGACTATATAAACAGAGTCTTTCTCAAACTCATCTCTTAGGAATCATCTTAATATTTCATTTAGATAGTTTATCTAACTGACAATTAAACATCTGTTTCATCTGCATCTAGATTGAAGCTGTGACAAACTTAGTCTTTTTTATAATATTTAGAATATATATGTGACTGAATTACTTAGTTGTTTGAGAGAATGTGTTATAGTATTTCAAAATCTATTCTCTTAGTAGCTATAAATATTATAATATTTTAATTTAATATAAAGTAAATAAAATTCATTAAGAACTTCTTATATATCTACTAGATCTTACATTCAAGGAATTTTGAAAAAGATTGAAGACAGATAGAGAGTTACTTAATATGTTTAAATGTATAATTCAGCTGCAGCTGGCAGACAATTGTTTCAAACCACTGAAAAATATAGAAAATAAGAAAAATAGAAAAGTAAATGTAAAAGCTTCATCCCTGTTCAAATGAATTAAACACTCTAGGAGGTATTATAAAACAGCATATAGAGTGTATAATACATTTCATCACGACAGACAGATAGATTAATCAAATAAATATGTATTACCAGCACCCAGGCCCTGTTCGTTATGGACACTGACCCACATGTATAGAAACTAATCAGGCTCCCACTTTTTCTTTTCCATTCCGCCATCGCATTCAATAACTATCATAGTCCCGTACATACCGCCCAGGCAACTCTATTTCCCACATTGGCCGTTCCACTACCGCCACCTCTATATTAAACCCGTCCTCCTGACTCTGGTTTGGATCTGATCTGCTATCCGGCTCGTCAAGCGACACTATTCCAAGAATATCCCGATATTTATGCGTATGCCACCAACGACGTTGCAGTAGTGATCGTTTATGCGGCGTTAGTGCTGGGACTTGCACTTCAAGGTCTATTGAAGAGTTTGGGTTAATTGCGCTGAGGGTGGAGAGAGTTGCTTGTTTTCGTTCAAGCTTGTCAGACCCAGAGGAGTGTATATTTTGACGCCCTTGCTTTTCTTGCGGCAGTGCGGTGTCACCATTGACTTGTGGCTTGTTGTCGATTACAACAGCAAAGGCTACTTGCGACTTTGCGTTGCAATTTGTGGATGAAGAGGGGAGATGTGTACTCATACCGTTGGGCAGATATTGGTCGTGATGATTTGTCTCTGTATCCACATCTTCATCATCCATTCCATAAGCTCCGGGTTGCGCGAGATTTTGTTCTCGTCGAAGACGTGCCAGGGTAGAGACATTTGCAATGGATGATTGGTTGTATTGTTTGTGCTCATCTTCGTCAAGAAAATCATCTCGCTCACTTGCTCGTGTAATGTCTATCCATTGTTCATTCGACTCATCACCACCCACGATTTTGCGCATTTTTCTCCCCAGGCCCACGTCGGATTTCGATACTGGAATTCTATCTCCAGCACCAGTGTTGGTCTTCGGAATTTTCCTGTCATCATCCTCTCGTTTACGTTTGTTTTGCCCTTTTTGCACTGCGCCATTTGCAACATCCTTGTTTGCAGAATCATTCTGTGGGGGAAAATCCTGCGAAAGGTCGAACATCCACATCCATGTAGGACCGTAAAGCCAAAGGCGTTCCCGGCTCTTACGTATATCCCAGATAGCACCCATAGCCCTATCCTTCAGTATGCTGAATTCTTTTGGCAGATACGCTTTGGGATTTCTCCGCGACCAATCGGACAGTTTCCCTTTCAAAATCTCGAATTCGAACAACTGGTGTTCTGCGGTCAATACCATTAGGCGTTCAGTAATGGAGAAAGATGGACAGGAGACATGAACTCTGGTAGTTCCCTTCGTGAGATCTTTGGGTTGGGAACAATTTGATGGGCGGAATGATAGCAAGAGGATTCCGGCTTTAAGACGAGGAATTGGTGATTCTGAAGGTGTCTGTATCCACCGCTGGCCGTCAAGTACAGCAAGGGAATCGTCATCATCATCCGAGGATTTATCATCCGAAGAGTTTGTCGAAGGCTTTCCGTTCACCTTTAGCATTGTACCATGCGTAGATGCTTTGACATCCTCCAAAATCCAAGAGTCTATGCAACCAGCCAAGTCGCCACTCGCCATAATTCTACTGTCCTCTGAAAATGCAATACAGCGAATGCTCCGTTCATATTCCCCAAGTGTACCGTACATTTCTTTGTGTCGGATTTGCCTTGGAATACGGTCCAAATCAAGTAGTTGAGGAAGTATGCATGGGTTATTGTTAGGGTCAGAGCTTGGCACAATTTTGGCAAGAGAGATTTGGTTGTTGGGACGGACCAGACAAAGCCATTGGCGATTAGGCGAGATAGCGACGGTTTTAGCTCCATGTCTAGCAACTGAAGGTGGAAGGTCAATCTTTTTGAAGCGGAGCACAGGCTGGCTACCGCCCCTTCGCCACCTCACATTGAACATTTTCACTTCAGCTATGGTTGCTGCAACGAAAAATTTCCCGTCAGGTGACAAGGTGGCGGACGTAAGATTTTCCTTGCCTTTTAACAGCACTTTGCCTAATAGTTCATGGCTCATCCCATCAAAGAGTCCTCCATCATTCCCAAAACGCCTAGAGATATACCATAAGCTGACTTCACGGTCCCACCAACTCATAAGGAGGCGTGGTGAAGGCGCTGAGGATATTTGAGGAACTTGGGGAAGATTTGATAACTTTCGGTGGTGTTCTGACCCATACTCGCGCAAGGGTACAACGACAGGGACTGTATCCAATCCTGTAATTTGATCATTAGATTAAAAGTAGACAATAAATCGCTAAACAAAAAATGTTTGTTCTTACCTCCTGATACGACGATGCTTATATTCCTAGTCTCATAAACTGCGAAGGCCTTGACATCATGCGAATGATATCGACGATGCGTTACTTCTTTCCATCGTCTCGATTTATCATTCTTCTTACCCCTCTCTAGTTTGTATATGGTCGTCCTCTGATCTGCTCCGCCGCTGATGACAGATTCTCCATCGGCACTAACAGCAATATCCAACACATCTGCCAGGTGGCCCTGTATTCGTTGAATGAGAGAGTAATTCTTCGCGTCCCAAAACCGTATTTCACCAGTAGAGTCGCCAGAGATAATTGTCCCGTCCGGTAAGCATTTCACCGACCATACTAGCAGCTCCTTGGAGCCCTTCACTAGGCCTTTACCCATGGAAACAGTACGTAGAATCACGCCATTGCGTATATCAAAGATTCGAATAGTGCTATCTGTATATCCAGCTACAGCAGTGTTACGATCCTGGAACGTAAGACTGAGGACTCTAGCCTTTTTAGTTGAGGGTCTTATGGTTCGTATATATCTCAAATCCCCGTCCTGTGTCGACAGGATGACAATTGACCCATCGGCACACCCAACAGCCAAATGTTGTCCCGTATATTCCCCTTCAACTGGGGGTAAGAATTTCCCATCTTTATCTTTCTTCGTGGGTCTCCAACGGGGTTGTGCAGCCAAACACCAAATCTCTCCAAAATTACCACTTGAATGTCTAGCAGGGCGAGCCTCTTCGAGATTCCACTCCGTCACCACGCTGGAAGATCCAATGCTAAACAATCGCAACTTCCCAGGGATTCTAAACCCGCTGCCATTGGTCCCGTCCTCGCTGGGGTCCTGGGTCCATGCAAGACCCTCGATACTGAGATCCTTACCACCTCGCAGAATCGATTCCTGTAGCCAGGCTCCGCGAAGGGGATTCCATATTTCGATATCGCCGTTGGCACGTCCGATGGCGAGACGCAGAGTAGGAACACCTCTACCGGAGACATCCGCAGAAGGAGGATGGGAGAATGCGAGGGCGTTAATTGCCCGCGGCTTGTATGGTACGAATCGACATCTGTGGATATCCATAGCTATTGAACGTTATATGTTATACGTTACGACGAAAAAAAGCTTTCAAGACACACACGGGCAATGGGTAAGGAATCAGCATGCGATCATCGGATTTTGATTAACTAGGTTAGGGAAGATGTCTAATCGAACCTCCCAAAAATCAACTACGCAGCCATTTTCTGCTCTGTATTTTCGCCGTTTATCAGTTGTGTAGTCGGGCCAGGCAAACCCGTCTCGCATCGCAAGTTTGCTGGTTTGCACGAAATCTTCCTAGATATTTTCTTCTCCAATATTCTGACACAAAAATGATCGGACCAAAGGGAAATTTTTCCCGACGGCTTCTACCACGTGATATCACGGTTCAAATTGTTGCGCACGCCTTGCCCAGGGCTCCCAAAGCAGCACCGGTGGATTAGCTTAGTCATTATATGTGCTTAGTCAACCCACACACCCTGTTAACGTATTTCCCAAGCAAGT